ATGGGGCTTGAACTCTGGGCCTGGGTGCTGTCCCTCAGCTCTTCAGCTGAAGGCTAGCACTCTGCCACTTGAGCCACAGCGCCACTTCTGGTTTTCTGAGTGATTTATTGGAGATTTCACAACCTTTCTTGCATGGGCTGGCTTTGAATTGCAATGTTCAGATCTCAGACTCCTGAGTAGCTAGGATTACAGATGTAAGCCACCGGCACCTGGCTAAGAATGGTGTTCTTTTAAGAAGAGGAGAGGAGGGCAAGGGGCACAGTTTAGTGGCAGAGCAAGGTTATGGCTTCAATACCCATCATAGTAAAAGAGAAGAAAGGCCAGATGCTGATGGCTCACAACTGTAATCTGAGTTACTCAGGAGGGTGAGATCTGAGAAATGCAGTTCAAAGTCAGACTGGGTAGGAAAGTCCATTAGACTCTTATCATTACTAAACTACTACAACAACAACAACCACACACACACACACACACACACACACACACACACACAGAGAAATGGGGCTGTGGCTCAAGTGGTAGAGTGCTAGTCTTGAGCAAAAGAAGCTCAGGAATAGAGTCCAGACCCTGAGTTCAAGCCCAGGACCAACATGAGAGAGAGAAAGAGAGAGAGAGAGAGGCAGAGACAGAGACAGAGACAGAGAGGGAGGGAGAGAGAGGGAGAGGGAGAGGGAGAGAAGCACGAAGAGAGATGGGAAGGAAAAGAGAGGAAGGGGAAGGAAGAGCAAAAAAAAGGAGGATGAAGGAGAAGGATGAAGAGAAGGAAGAAGGGGGAAAAGGAAGAGAAATAGAACTTAGGAACAGATGCATGCAGAATGAGAATCCTATGAAGACTCGGAGAGAATATCTGTGCTCCTTAGCTTTCCTGAGAGTGTCAACTTATAAAGAGAAAAGGGTTGTTTTGGCTAAGGTTTTGTTTTGTTTTTTAGATTTCAGTCCATGATTAGTTGGCCCTGCTGCTTTGGGCCAGTGGTGGTACATCATGAAGGGCAGAATCCCTCACTCCATGGCCAAGAAGCCAGAGAGAGATACGGAGAGTCCATGGCCCCATAGTCCCTTGGGAGGGCAGGCCTCCAATGAGCTAAAGACCTCCCGTTAAAAATCTCCACTCTTCTTCAATGGAGTGAAGCTGGAGCCAAGCTTTGAACATGAGGGCCTTTGAGAATGTTCCAGATCCAAACTACAGCAACTAGCATCGATAAGCCAAGGAGAGAGATACTCAGAAGACAGCAACCTTGATCTTGAGCCACAGCTCCCCTTCCAGCTTTTTGCTGGTTAATTGAAGATAAGAGTTCCACAGACTTTCTTGCTTTGGGCTGGCTTTGAGAGCCTCAGATCTCAGCCTCCTGAGTGGCTAGGATTACAGGTGTGCATGAGCCACTGGCATCTGGTTTGTCCCCTTTCTTACAGGCACAACAGAACTTCTTTCTTTCTGTTCAACTCTTCTTTTATGTTTTGGGACAAGGAAGGATTAGATGGCCGTGGCAAGTCAAAATGGTGAAAATATTACTACTTCTTGGGTTCATTTTTAAAACCTTCTTGGATGTTGCTTAAATCTAAAACAAGGCCCAGAGTCACCGGCGCCAGTGCTGTGTACCTGAACAGCAAACTGAAGAAGCAGATGACCAAGCACACGCCGATCGTGAAGATGTAGGCCAGCTGCATGTTGTAGGAAGCCCCACCATTTCTGTGCTGGATGGTAGAATTGGTGTAAAAGCCATAGTACATCACTGTGTCCCGAAAATAACCCTGGATGGGGCAATGAGGAGAATCAAGTCAGGTAGGTGGGGCAAGGTGGCACGCACCTGTAATCCCAGCTACTCCGGAGACACACACATCAAGAGGACCAAGGTCCAAAGCCAGCAGGGGAAAAGCATGAGACTCTGCCTGAAACTTTTGAATATGGATTGGATTTTAGGTGGCATTAATTTTTAGCTTTGTTAAATCTTTTTTTTTAAGTATTGTGACTGCCAACATGTGGCCTTATTTCTCAGAGAAGGCTTGCTGTGAAATTGCAAAGCAAAATGCCCTGATATCTGTAATCTATATTATTTAGTTAGTTATTTGGTTAATTCGCTTTTTGCCCTTACCAGCGTTTATTTTCTTGATTTTCTGTTTTGTGTGTGTGTGTGTGTGTGTGTGTGTGTGTGTGTGTGTGTGCATGCGTACACCAACTCTGGGGCTTGAACTCGGGGCCCTGGGCATTCTCTTTGAGTTTTTTCACTCAAGGCTAGTGCTCTACCACTTGGAGCCACAGATCCACGTCTGGCTTTTGGGTGGTTCATTGGAGATAAGAGTCTCAAGGACTTTCTTGCCCAGGCTGGCTTTGAACTTCCACCCTTAGATCTCAGCCTTCAGAGTAGCTAGGATGACAGGTGTGAGCCACAAGTCCATCTTTTATAGCAAACAAAAGAAAGGAATGCCCGAATCCCCCACAGGACTGGGAACTTTGCATATCAGTCAGCCCTGAAGCAACACCAGCGTTCTGGGCAGGGGTTTGGGGAGCGAGGGGCAGGAGGAAGCAGAGGACTTACTGCTCCAGTGAAGAACTCCAGCCCGGTGAACTGGAGGGTGTTCCATTCCCCTACGGTAAACTGAGGGATGACGATGAAGCTGAAGTTCACAATGAACGAGAAGATGTTGAACTTCAAAAGCCACCTGAGGAAGCTGAAATAGGAGAGGACGCTGGTTCCAAACTTGCCGCCGATGACCTTGAACCTCTTCTGCCACAGACTGATGGAATTGAGGAGCTCCGAAAGGCTGTTCTTGCATCTCCGGTAAGCCTAGGGGTGTGGAGGCAGTGCCAATGACTGCATTCCCACCCCTCAAGCACCTCCCTGTAATACAGGACCAGGAAAACGACCTCCAGAGCCTTTACGCTGTACCTGGCTGCATCTCTTACACCCACCCTCTAAGATACAGGCTCGATGTTGCTGGGGACACTCAGATGCCAATGGGCTCAACTAGCTCCTCCTCCTCCTCCTCCTCCTCCTCCTCCCCCTAGACCTTCCCCATGCCCACCTCCTTCCCCCACACCCACGCTGAGCTGGACAGCACCCAAGGGTGGCTCCCCTTCCCTGTGTCCCCTCCTGTCCACGCTCCGGGCCCTCTCCACGGTCATTTTCTTGCTGTGCTCATTTTTACCATGGGAATGCATATTAGTACACCCTTTACAGATGTTCTTTGAAACACTAAATGGAGATCCAGCTGTCTCCCCAGTGGGCGTATCTCCAAAGGAAATGAATCCACATGCTTGGCAGAGTTGCCTGCACACCTCTGGTAATTAAAGCACTATTTGTGATAGCTAAGATACTCTTCTACTTAGATGTCCATCAATAGATGATGCTGGTGGCTCATGACTATAATCTTAGCTACTCAGGAGACTGAGATCTAAGGATCCTAGTTCAAATCCAGCCCAGGTAGGAAAATCCATGAGACTCTTATCTCCAATGAACCACCAGAAAACCAGAAGTGGTGCTGTAGTAGTGCTCAAAGTGGTAGAGCACTAGTCTTGAGCACAAGAGCCCAGGCCCCAAGTTCAAGCCCCATGACAAACAGAAACAAATGTGGTGTATCTGTACCATGGAATATTACTCAGCCACCAAGAAGAGTGAAATCCAGTCATTTGCAGCAAAATAGATGAGATTAAGTGGAACCAGACAATCCTAGAAAGGCAAGGACCACATGCTCTCTCTGCCTGTGAGGAAACACTCCATCTGAATCATTGGAGGTTGAGAAGGGTTGTAGGAAGGAAAGGACCTTTTGGGTAACAGGTACCAAAACACAGAAGGATTGAATTCTGGTGTTCCATGGCAGAGGTGGCTGACTACCATCCCCACACAGGTAATGATATACACTTTATGAGGATCCAAAAGACAGTTCAAAGGCTCTAAAAAAGTGAGAAGGGGCAGGGGTTAGGGCTCAGTGGCAGAGCGCATGCTCAGGATGCATGGCCTCTTGAGTGCAATCTCCAGCACCGAAAAGAGGAAGAAGAAACAGGGAATGATTCACAGGGAGGGGAGGAGGCAATTCCCGTGGCCGAATGCTTGTGCTCTGTACTCCCAACATGTAAGGGATGGCGGGTTCCCACAAGGCACGTGGGATGGAATCCAGCCCAAGGCAGACCTACCCGAGAGACCGAGTTCAAACACTGCGTACAGCACTTCATCTTGAGGGCGCGGTGGGACTGTTTACTTTTCTCTTTGTCAACTATTCTCCTGTGGGGAGCAGAGGATGAACATTAGAGATCCCAACACTGTGGTTCATTCATTCATTCATATTTTTTTTTTTGGGGTCCGGTCGTGGTGCCTGAACACTGGGCCTGGGTGCTGTCCCTCAGCTCTTCAGCTCAAGGCTAGCACTCTACCACTTGAGCCACGACGCCACTTCCAGCTTTTTTCTTTTTGCTTATGTGGTGCTGAGGAATCAAACCCAGGGCCTCTGGCATGCAAGGCAAGCGCTCTACCACTGAGCCACCTTCCCAGCCCCTCATTCATTTTTTTTTTTTAAAGCTCCCTGGCACCAGTGGCTCACTTCTGTCATCTTAGTTACTCAGGAGGCTGACATCTGAGGATCAAAATTCAAAGCCAGCTTGGGCAGAAAAATCTCTGAGACTCTTATTTCCAGTTGATTGCCAGAAAAGACAGAAGTGGCACTGTGGCTCAAGTGGTAGAGCGCTAGCCTTGAGCTGAAGAGCTGAGGGACAGCTCCCAGGCCCAGAGTTCAACAACAAGTAAAGTATATCACATATGAGAAGGTGACTTGTATTGCAGAAAGTTAAAAACAGCCTGGTGCAAAGTGGATATGGGGTCACCACTAAGCATTGCTGTATTTGAGGAAGAGGAGGGACGAAGAATCCTGAGGAAGAATCCTGGCACTGGGAACAGCCAATGCACAGCCTCAAACAGAAGCTGAGCTGTAGGAGGCCAGCGTGGCTGGAGGACCATAAGGTAATCCAAAGCCAGAGGCCATGAACCTCGAGAACCTTGGCCTGGACTGAAATCCCTCCCTCAAACCAAGGGTTGAAATCTGGGACAGAAGAGAAGTCTGAGGCATACCTGAGCCTCCTTTTCTCTTCCATACTTCTTGGCTGGCTCCGGATGGTTTTAATCCTGTCTCTGGATGCCATGGGGATCAGGGAGGCAATTAACTTTTGTCCTGCAGAAGAGAATAAATGGAGTTCAAAACAGGTTTTTAATTTTGTCCATTGTGGGTCTTGAACTCAGGGCCGGGGCTCTGTCCCTGAGATCTTTTGCTCAAGACTAGTGCTCTACCACTGTGAGCCATAGCTCTACTTCTGGTTTTTGAGTGGCTCGTTGGAGATATGAGTCTCACAGGGACCTTTCTGCCTGGGCTGGCTTTGAACTGTGACCCTCAGATCTCAGCCTCCTGAGTAGCTAGGATTACAGGAGTGAGCCACCGGTGCCTGAGCTGAATGTTTTTTTTTTTTTAAGTATAAAAAAACCTAATAGCGGGGCTGGGAAGGTGGCTCAGTGGTAGAGTGCTTGCCTTGCATGCATGAGGCCCTGAGTTCAATTCCTCAGCACCACATAAGCAGAAAAAGCCAAGGTGGCGCTGTGGCTCAAGTGGTAGAGCTCTAGCCTTGAGCTGAAGAGCTGAGGGACAGCGCCCAGACCCAGAGTTCAGGCCCCAAGACCAACAACAACAACAACAAAACCCTAATAGCTTAGCTCCTTTCCCCTCTACTCCCCTATAGTTCCCTGAAGCGTTTTCTACCTTGAATGGTGTCATGGGAAGTAGAAGGAGACTCTATGCTGGGGCATCCTGGACTATGGAGGATCTGAGACACGGATTCATTCAAAGCAGTTGAAACCCCTAATACCCGGTGCTGCCTTTGACTGTGCCTGTGGCCGAAAACCTGAGAACCAATGGCGTCGATGTCAGATGCGGACGAAACCCTGCTGACAGTCGGCTTTGCCGCTGACTTTCCTTGAAAAACCTGACTGTGGACCCCTGATGGAATATTCTCAAACTCGATGATGATGTCATTCCCCTGGCTCTCTGGCAGCATCCCCTGACTCAGGTGAATCTTCTCTTCCACCTGGGTGGTCTTCAAAGACCCCCCCTCCCCCCCACCCTCCTTCTCTAAGTGCTCACACTGGCACAGAGGACCCTGGGAAGGAGGGGCGTGGGAAGGTCAGGGTGCTTCAAATGAATGCACCTGAAGCCTGCACCTCAAAAATCACCATGTTAATTCTCCCCCCCAATCTGCTCCCCTCCCCCCAAGGGGCTCTTCTCTGGAGATCTGTTATTTTCCTGCAGAGAATTCAGTCTTGGTAGCTAAGGTAAGAAATTAGAAACAGAATCCTTCGATGGCATTCTAGAAAGAGAAGACAAGAGATCCTTCTAAATGACTCAGAACCCCCAAGGGCCTTTAGCGCTTCTGGCCTGCAATTTATAACTGTCTATGCCTGTGTAAATCCGGATTCAGTTGTAGCCTCCTGTCTGTCTCAGACTGTAGACAGTACTGTCTGTTTGTTTCCTCAATCTGCACTCTTTTCTCTTATACCAGCAGAACCTGCATTATCTAAAGTTCAGATTCTCCCAGCTTCATTGACAGCTAAGCGTGAACTTGTGTGACCCGATTTTAGTCAATGAGACATGTGGTAGCTTTCAGGGATGCTTATTTATTTATTTATCCAGTCCTGGGCCTCGAAATCAGGGCCTGCATACTATCCCTGAGCTTCTTTTTACTCTAAGCTAGAACTCTCCCACTGAGTCACAGCACCACTTCTGGCTTTTTCTGTTCATGTGGCACTGAGGCTCAAACCCAGGACTTCATACATGCTAGGCAAGCACTCTACCACTAAGCCACATTCCCAGCCCCATGGATGCTCTTTTAAAGAAGGTGACTCAAACATGCTGAGCACGGTGGTCCACATCTGTAATCCCAAGCTTCTTCAGAAAGTAGAGATAAGAGAATCACCATCTGAAGGTAGCCTGGGCAAAAGCACGAGACCCTATCTGAATACACAAACCAAAGCAAAAAGGGTTGAGGATGTAGCTCAAGTCGTAGAGTTCCTGCCTCACAAGTGTAAGGCCCTGGGCTGGGAAGGTGGCTCAGTGGTAGAGCGCTTGCCTTGCATGCATGAGGCCCTGGGTTCGATTCCTTAGCACCATATAAGCAGAAAAAAGCTGGAAGTGGCATGGTAGCTCAAGTGGTAGAGTGCTAGCCTTGAGCTGAAGAGCTGAGGGATAGTGCCCAGGCCCAGAGTTCAGGCCCCACGACTGACCCAAAAAAAAAAAAAAAACAAATACAAAACAAGTGTAAGGCCCTGAATTCAAACTCCAGTACCACCCAAAAAGGAATGGGACAATTTACTCCTCATTCACCTCTTTCATGAAATCACTTTAAAAACAAGAAGATGAACATTTACCTGTAAAGGTGAAGAAAGAAAGAAGCTATGGAAACAAAGAAAGAAGCTATTGTTTTGTTTTGTTGGTTGTGGGCTTGAACTCAGGGCTTGGGTGCTATCTCTGAGCTTTTGTGCTCAAGGCTAGGGCTCTATCACTTTGAGCCACAGCACCACTTCTGGTTTTCTGGGGGTTTATTGGAGATAAGAGTCTCATGCACTTTCCTGCCCAGGCTGGCTTCAAACTGTTCCTGTCAGATCTCAGCCTCCTGAGTAGCTAGGATTACAGGCATGATCCACCAGCGCCCAGCTAAGGCGGGAAAGTTTCAATGTTGAACTAACTTTGAACTTCCTCCCTCCACTCTTCTTGTGGCAAGAGAAAATAATCCCTTTCTTGCCAGGTCAGTGCTCTTTCAGGGCTGAAACGGAGACCATAGACACAAAGGACTTCGTCAGTATCATTACCACGTGTTGCCTTGAGCAAGTTTCTACACCAGGGCTAATGGCCTGGCCGTGGTCCACGAGGACTTACCTTGGGGCGACTTGTGCCAATCATAGTCAGGCACTGGTGAGTCTCCATAAGCACTGACAGGGCTGTTTTCATCCACATAAGCAGGGTTTACTGAAATGAAGAGAAGGGAGATGTTGCACTTTAATCCCTCCACCCTCAGTACTATTGAGTGTATAATGGTTAGCATGTGCTAGAAATGGTTAGTTATAGCACTGTTACTTTGCCTTCAAGTTCCTAACAGTCCTGTGGTTGAAGAACTTGTGTAAAGAGCCAAGCATGGTGATGCATGCCTATAATCCCAGCACTCACAAGGCAGAGACAGAAGGCTAATGAGTTCAAGATTGGCCTGCTGGGGCTGGGAAGGTGGCTCAGTAGTAGAGCGCTTGCCTTGCATGCATGAGGCCCTGGGTTTGATTCCTCAGCACCATATAAGCAAAAAGAAAAAAGTCGGAAGTGGTGCTGTGGCTCAAGTGGTAGAGCACTAGCTTTGAGCTGAAGAGCTGAGGGACAGCGCCCAGGCCCAGAGTTCAGGCCCCAAGACCAACAACAACAACAAAAAAAACCCTAATAGCTTAGCTCCTTTCCCCTCTACTCCCCTATAGTTCCCTGAAGCGTTTTCTACCTTGAATGGTGTCATGGGAGGTAGAAGGAGACTCTATGCTGGGGCATCCTGGACTATGGAGGATCTGAGACACGGATTCATTCAAAGCAGTTGAAACCCCTAATACCCGGTGCTG